CTTGAATGTAATGTGATTTCCTATCCCTACTGTCCCAAATACATAAAAAGCAACAGTAATCAGTGTATCCCAGTTGCATTCCTAAGAGTACAGCGATGAACTTTAGATCGCCACATATTTTCCGCTTGTGCTCAGCATAATTGATTGAGTCAAGGAGGACTGTCATGTTTGCATAAATATATATTCCATAATAAAGTGTAGTTTTATTATATGCTGATCTGAGGTGTTTTACAGGAAAAACATCAACAAAAATTTGAAATAATTGAAGATGCACTATTTTGTAATGAAACATTTTTTTACAAATTTTACTATAAAAGCTTTCTCATATATTTTGTATTATTTAGATTATGTCAATCATTTTAAATTATAATTTAAAATGAATAAAAGTTTTAAATCTTTCGCGGGCCATATTTTAGCTCTTGTGGACCACTGGTTGTATGTAGACCACTGGTTGGGAACTGCTACTCCAAAACAAGAGCTAATTGGTCATTTTTATAGTGATTTTTGAATTCAGCAGATGAAAATACATAAGAATATGCTAATTTTGAGCCCAAAACAAAATCATTGTTGTCCAGTGTAATTAGACATTAAGTAATTTAGTACTGTAGGTGGACGTTAGGTGCCATCTTTTATTTAAATTAATGATTATAATAATTTAATAATTTATTAAATGATTTAAAGCAGTCTGGAAGAAAAGAACTAGCCCAGAGTGGGATTTGAACCTGCAATTTCCATTTACTGTGCACTGCTACAGTTATGTCACCTGGATTTCTGATCAATTCTTCTCTTCCAGATGTATTTAAACCTAGATATAACCAGCGCTTTTTTGTCATAGAACGCAATGGAATGGCATTCCACCATCTTTTTTCAATATATTTTAAAAGTTTTAAGAGAATTTTTGAAAATTTGATGTTTGGTCCATGTTGAATTGCTCTGTTGAGCATAGAAGATAGGCAACAAAATTATTGATATTAAGGCGGTCCTGCTCCTGCTTGTGTGCCAAATCTTGTGTACGATGCATGTAATATATTTTTAGTAATGAGATGAGCGTTCCACCACCTTTTTTTTTCCCAAAAAAAAGCCCTGGATATAATCATTATATCTAGCAAAATAATAGCCCAATTAATTATGGTGATCAATGCATTGGACTTTGGTATATTTATTAAAATAAGTGTTGTACTTATTTAATTTTAATTGCATTTAGACAATACAAAATTATTCCAAAAAATAGGCATGAATAAATTTACATAATAAACATCATGTAAATAAAAAATAAAATAAAAATAAGATTCCAACTTATCTAATCAATTATTATATTTTGATATCTAAATGAATTGGTATTAATCATTCTTAAGAATATTATAGATATCTGTGTTTGATGATATTAAAAGTAATATTTGTATTTAAGATACAGAAGTGGTCATGGAAATTACATCACTCATAAAATCCTATAAAAATGTAACTGAATGTAAGAACTGTAAAGATTGCATCATCCATGGATGATGCAATCTTTACAGTTTCTTGAAGTCTGCATGATATCATATAGACATGACATCATAAACATGAGAACACTTCATTGGTTAACAAAGTCTACTATAGTAATGTTTTGTGACCTCATTGTCTGTTGATATAAAAGTGCAAAGATAAGTGCACTTTTATTAGCAAAATGGAAATATTTTGACAGTTAATGCCATGTAAAGTCTGTAATTGTTTGATATGAAACAATATTTTTCTTTGCAGCTAAAACTACTCCAAAATTGATGAAAAACTGACCTTTTGTGCTTTTTAGCATGTTCCACTACAGTAGTGAAATGCTTATGTTAGGACTTTTGTGTGTGTCAGACATCCCATTTATTGCACATGTACACTTGCATGTGCAATGAAACAGTTCATTTTTGTTATCTAAGTTAGTTCTGTTCAATCCATTCATTGTGCATGTCCATGCACATGTGCAAAAGGAAACTGAACATTTTTGTTTATGGTCACTTTAAGCTACCCAGTTTCTCTGGAATCTATAAACCACATCTCTTACTGTATATTCAGTGAAAAATTCTTTTGAACATCTACTTGATTCCAAGAATTTATAAAATTTATTTTAAACAAAATTAATATTTGATTCACTTTTGTGGAGCCTGCTATCAGATCGGCTTGACCAACCTTGTTTCTTTGAATTTTGAAGATTTATCCTCCGGTGAAATAGTACTAGAGGATTTGATCCCGGGATCTCGAAAATCGGGATCCCGGGATCCCGACCACTTTTCAGTCCCAAAATTTTCGGGATTAAGTTTTCCTAATCCCGAGATTTTCGGGATTGACATCATTTTAAAAAAAGTTGCAAAATTGACTGCATGAAGCGAAACGTTCAGTGCCAGTGCTTTTAACAGAATTGCTTGCCTATCATTTTGATATAAAATACAAGAAATTTTATTCCAAGCAAGCAGCAGAAATTAACCTAGCGGGCTTGCGATGCTTGCTTGTAATAAAACTTCTTGTATTTTCAACTAAAATGATAGGCAAGCAGTTCTCACTGGGTTACTTGGTAATATACTTCATTTTTGTACTTTTGAATTTTCGCGGGCGCCAATTGATTTTCTGGTGCAGTCGAGAGCACTACTTGGTGCGTTTTACCTGTCAATGTGTCAGCCATCTTGTTTTGCCAGTGTAGTTAATATAGACCCGACGCCTCTCGCTTAGGGGATCGACCTTAGGTGAAAAGGTTACGACCCTCGCCTTGCCTGCGATCTGTCAGGATGATGCGAGAAAGTCTTTTTACGTTTCGGGGTTTGCTGGACGCTGAGAGACTCACACAGAGACCGAATTTACAAAATTAACGCGTTTATTTTTAGAAAGACATGCTTACAAGGATCGAAACAATCGGGATTGTAGCCTTTACTCCTACAATCCCGATCCGTGTCGATCGGACTGTTTTCTTCCATCCTCCCCGTGTCCTCGAAGCTTATAAGTATTTATTAACGATTCCTTCAACTTCCATCAAACCTAAACGCATTTTCTCAGCAGCTGCATATATGTGCAACAAATTGAGAAGCAGACTTGGTGATGAGACACTGGATGCGTTGTTATTTCTCAGATCATATTTTCGCAATTCAAATTAGAATGTTCCTATTAGATTAGTTTTCTTTATATTTAAGGAAAATGTGACTGATTAATATTATTTTTAAATACTTTTTGCTAAGAAACTTACTTTACTACCTACTTACTAGGTTGTTATATGAAAGTAGTCTATTTAGTCGATGTTAAGAGAGATTTTTGTTAATTTTCAAGGTTTATTTGCATAGTTCGTTACATAAAGGTTTTTTCAATTTATGTGAGTTTAAAGAGATGTCAGTGATGCTTAAAAAAGAATAAATTTAACATGAAACAGTGATTTTAAGTCTGGTTAGTCTGACTCTGTCTGATTAGTTAGAGTGATTAAATTAACTAGGTGTATACCGTAAAATACGTTGATTTTTGTCTAAATTTTGATTTTTGATTTCTGTAAGATTTTCTTATTTTTTATTAACCCTCAATACCGAAATAATCTTGGGATCCCGGGATTGAATAAGTATAATCCCGAAATCCCGGGATTAGAAATAAGGACCGGGATCGAATTCCCTAAATAGTACAGAGAATGCATTGATACATTATCATCACTCAACAAATATGCCATGATAGCTAGAGTATAAGAACTCTCTCCCAAAAACTGTCTAGAGACAACCTTTGTCGTAAGGATAATGATACAGCATAAACTGTATATAAAATATATTATATTATGCATGTATAGTTTATGCTGATATACAGTACATACCATAAATTAAATGTATTTCCATCAGATGATAAAACTTGGATATTCACATGTATTTTATGTTAATATAACTGTATTTAGTTTTAAACTTTAAATTGTATTGTATTTCTATTAACACAAAATATCATATGTATATTTTTATTTAATTGCTCTCTATATTTATTTTTGCTGTTATTTTATTTGTATGATAACATAGTTGTGTTGCAAGTTACTCTATATTGTAAACTTTTATGTTTTAAATTTTGTTTGATATTTGAATGTTGATCCATCTGATGATGACTTATAAATAAGTGAAAATATTAATGAGAATTATAGTTCCTCAGTAGATATAAGGTTGAAGTTTCTTATGGGAGTTCCTCAACCTTCTTATAGGACTTATGGGAGTTCCTCAACCTTATATTCTGGTAATTATGACTGTATATTTGTTATAAAGATGTAAACATAGTAACATTGAAAGAAAAGCTGAATCAGCAGGTAGTATGTGAGAATGCCATTCCTGGATAGGATGCTGAAGTGTGTCAGTCTGCAAGAATGTTGTACTAGTTGTTTTGAACTGAAAGTAAAGTGAGAAGAGCAAACAAGTGTAAAAATAAGTGCATGAATTCTGCAACATTGCCTGTGCAATGAAGGTATAAAAGTGTACTGACCAAATTGCTGACATATTACAGATACAACTTCCAGAGAAGAAGCTTGAAAAAGAAAAGCAATTGCAGGAGTGTATTAGAAAAGTTTAATATCACAAGCTTGGTATTGAAAATTTTAAGAAACTCATCCAATGTATACTGGAATGTTGCAAAGCTGTTGATAAGGTCAGTGGCCCTGCAAAATATTAAGATCTCATCAGTGAGAAATAACTGTGTAGTATATCTTTCAGGCATACTAACATTGATTTTTTTCTTCCATAATTATGATTGGCAAGTTTTTGTGACAGTGCTCATTAACAGTGTTTATGAAGATGTGGTACTTAAGTTCTGTATAGCATTTTTTTGGTTTATTATTATTTTCTTCTCTGTATTACATATGTTATCATTCCTAATACTGATTACAGTTTAAATATGATACTTTGTACATTTTTTGGTGTATATCATAACTGATGCAATTTCTATAGCTGATACTATATTTGTAATAATTTTTTTACAATTATTTTTCAATTTTTAATTTTATACAGAAATAAAATATTAAATTTTTTAAATTTCAGTTGGATTGGATGCTGCTGGTAAAACAACAATCTTATATAAGCTCAAACTTGGAGAAATTGTCACAACCATACCAACAATAGGTCTGTGAATCATTTTAATTCGATATTTGTAACTTTAAGCATACATTTACCGTTTAAGCATTTTTAATCTATCTTATTAAAAATCTATCTGATGCATTTTTGTTTTAGAATATCTTGTATTACAAATGAATTAGAATATCTTACATTAGAATATCTTATATTACAAATGAAGAATTTATAAAAGGGTTGATATGAAAAAAGATGTACTATTTTATTTATATTTAATCTTTTTATTGTTTGCTTCATTTTATGATAAAAATGTTTATACTTCAAAATTTAAAAATTTTGGTATTCTGTTTTGTCATCTTTATAATTGTACAGTGGGTGATCAGTTAACAAACAGTTCGGACTGCAAAGAAATTGGACAATGAACACTTTTGCAGAAAATTTTTATGTTCGGACAACAAACACATGTTCAGATAACAGAACAAAGACAAGAAGAAGCAACGTAAAATAGTGAATACTGATCGGTCTTCTCTTGTCTCCAGGTGACAATTCAAAACCTTTCAGAGCACGGGAGATGTTGACATTGACACTCAACTCGATACTGATCGAATAGTAGGCTATTCCTCTGAACTTTGAAACTTCCCTTGTAATTCCAGTCTTTTGTTTAAATTTCTGACAAATGATTTTTTATAGTCTTCATGAAACTGTTGAGTGGACACTCGTTAAATTTTTTGTCGATTTTTAGTTTTGAAAGGCAATCATTTAACTGTTCCATTGGATATTTGTTAATGTTTTAACACCAAATTTTGAATTTCATCCGGGTCTCCCTTTTACATAATTTTTTTGTGTGATACTTGATTTCTGTTCTCTGAATTTTTGTAAGTGCTTTTCTGAACTTTTTATTTAAAAAAGAAACTGATAATATTATGGAGCCTAAAAAGAGTGAAGTGTCAAGAACTGTGCTCACCATAGAAACCAAGCAAGAGATAATAGCCAAGTTAGAGAAGATGTTTGATGTTGCTAGGCAGTCAGTATGGCTTGAACAGGTCTACAGTAAGAACAATCTTACTAAGAAAGATATAATCAAGAAGACTCAAGCAGCTGAAGGAATAACAAAAATCATATCTGAAAAACAAAGAACATTTAAGAGCTCATAATGGAACCTGAAACTGAAGACAGAAGAAACTCAGTGAAATGTGTTTCTTCTGAAAAAGAGGCAGACGAAAGAAGACCAATGCTGACATCTACTATTAGAGATCTTTTGAAGAAGTGAGATGATGTCAGAACAATGGTCTTAAAATGGCATCCAAACCAGGTATAGGTTAATATGCTTGGAGATTTCTACAACAACAATGCTGTTAATTACTTCCAAAAAATCCTAGAGAAGATAGAAAAGCAATCAATATTTGACAGATTCTTTAATACCCCAGAAACAGAAAAAAATATGACTGTGATAAAAATGCAAGACTGTGTATATATGTATTTTTATTATTATATATAAATAAACATAGTAAGAAAGTATATAAATTATTTATTTTTTGGGGTCTCCAGAACAAATTAATCAAATTCCCATATAAATATATGTTAAATCGATAATCGGTTAACAAACAGTTTGGGTAGTGAATACTGTTTTGGAACAGATTACATTTGTTAACCAATCACCCACTGTACTTTTACTAATTTCAATTTTAAAATATACAAGTTTTAATAAATGCAAACCATTGACATAATTAAAAAAAAAGCACATTCTCTTCAAGTCATAGTTTAATAAGCTTAACCATTCACTGAAAATTAAACTCAACAATTAATGTTTAATATTTAAACATTCTTATATTATTTATAATAAAAATTTTAAAATATATATATATTTTTAAGTAAGAAAACATAGCAGTTAATTGGAACTATTGTATATATCTTAAACTATATTTTAAAAAATATCATATCATATGATGAATATATATCTCTGAAATAAATAATTTGTTATATTTGATTACAAGGGGAGGTTATGACATGGTCGTTGGGGTTTTCAATAATACTGTTTTGTGTGGATAAGCCTTGGTGTGAACCTTTATTGAGCAAAGGGAGAATGTGTACTTTTGAAATTTTTCAAAAAAATTGAAAAGAGTTAGTTTTGAATGACTGAAAGTCCTGAATAAGAATTCTACTGAACTTACGTTTAGCAGAATTTTTATTCAAAGATCATGGAGTTTGGCAGCAGCATGTCTTATTCAAAAGTAAAAGACTGCTGGTTCACATCTCAATGAATGGATTTTTTTCAAATCAATTCATTTTTACATTGACAAAATGATTAAACCCATATAATTTACAATTTTCTACTAGTGTTCATTTCCACTTGCTTGAAAATTTGTTTTTGAAACTGCTGCCTATGGAAAATTAAATTTAAAATATTTTACAGTTTTGATTGAATCACAGAATAATATAAATAATTTCACATTGTAAACAATTAAATATAAAAATTATTAGTTATAATTACAGATGCAATATTAGATCAGTAACCATTACATCAGCATAAAAAATAAGTTCAAAAAATCGTCTTTCAGTGTATAAACACAAAAACTACTGCATTTTGGGATAAATTAATTAAAGCTGGGTGTAGTAGTTTTAGTAATTAAATAATATAGGCAAGAAGCTCTTTAGTATAAAACTAAAGAGCTTCTTGCTCTTTAGTTTTATACTAAAGAGTTTTTGTTTTTATTTAATTAAAAAAAATTTGTAAGTAATTTTGATGGTGCATTACCATCATCTTCAGGCAAATGAATGGAAAATTATGCTCCATGTTCTAATTTTTTTTTTCATTCATTTGCCTGAAGAAGAGGGTAATGCACTATTGAAAGTATTTGCCTATTTTATGATTAAATAGTGTTTATAACACTGAAAAAAAAACAGTTGTTTCCCTTAGATATACTTCCAGCTTTTTAATTATGTTGACATATCTGAATGTTCCTGATGTATCAGTTTTTTTTACAAACCTATATTTGGAGTTTTCTTTTGATATATCATGGCATATCAAAATGATGTAAAGGAATCCTTTACATCATTTTGCCATGGCAGGCATTCAAACAAGTTGACAGACATATTGTGCTGTAAAACAACAGTACAGTAGTGCATCCTCTCTTCATGTGATTTGCTACCGATAGTCATGTAATGTACTGTTCTTCTCACTTTTGATGAGTATCAGCTTGTTAGGGGCACTGCTTTGCAGCAGACCAGATACATTTTAGGCAGATCAGTGCACTGAATTATAATTTCTGGTGGAAAATAATGCAGTGGTGCAATTTGACATACCAGATATTTCAGGAGTATGTTTTTTGACTTTCTGGTCATCCTTACAGTTCAATGTAACAAAGAAAAATTTATATATAATAAATAACTAGTAAATTAAAATAAAATTATTGGTATTTTTATGAATTGGTATCATGAACATGGACATAAGAAAAGAAGTTGGAAATTTGAACTCTAGGTAGCCAGGTGCTTGGTAAAATGAGTATTACTTGTAGAAAAATGAGGCATATTCATTGCATTTTCCCCTCCCAATTGCTATATTCTAGCATTGTGTACAAAGACAGCTGGATGACCAAAGTGGTTACATCATCATCCTGTAGCTTTGGGGTCCTAATATCAAATCCAGGAACTTTACAGGAATGGTCTGTCCCAGATATTTTTGGAACAGATCATTCCATCCCTCACCATCCAGATAATCTTGGTCTAGAACAGGCATGACCAACATACAGCCCATGTAATGAATTTATGTGGCCCGCGATCAATCTTTCAATATTAGCTACTCAAGTCCGAATAGCTTGATGAAAAATTCTGATGCAAAAAAAAAACTCAACAACTCACTATGCAAATATAATCAAACACCAAACAATTTGCTGAGCTTATTATTTATTTAGTTCAAACGTTTTCAGCCTACTTCGAATAGGCCATCCTCAAGACATTACCGTTCTACTATCGAATACAAAACTTTCGAATAAATTTTAGATTTAAACTTTTAACATATTTTTAAACATCTTTACAATAAATTGTAAACTATTAAATACTTAACTAAAAAAATCTTTTAACATATTAAATAATAAATATATATAAAATTAATATAACAAAAAATAAAAAATATACATTAAACTAGTAAAATATATCCTTCATAAGTTTATGGGTTTTTAATTCCCATTTCTTTTTCTAACAAGTATTTCCATGCCATTGGCAGAGCATTAGCATCCTTTGCGTTTAAGCAATTATTATTAACTCACTATGCGTTTAGAGTTAACCCTCCATTACAAATCTCATAAGTACAGTGTAGAATGTTGATAAAGCATGATAATGTGAAAAATGTATCTTTAATCTCTAAGTACAATTTAGTCTCTACGGGGTGACACCACAATGAGATCTCGCACTACCTCAAAATCTTCCTAGGGTGGCCTCTGGTTTGGCCCGTGGAAAAAGTTTTCATTTCAATTCGGCCTGGGGGGGGCAAAAACTGTTCGCCACCCCTGGTCTAAAACCTTTTTCGCTAATTCTGTTGCTGGTCTTTTATTTTTAATGTTCTCTTGATGTTTGAGGATGTGGGACTGTATCATTCTGGTGGTAGCTCCAATATAGATAATTTCCTCCCCTGATATTGTATGCTTTAATGGAATTTTATAAACCCTCGATTTTTTGTTCAGTGTGAGAGTGTCTCTATTGTAGCACAATGTTCTTCATAGTGATGGTTGAGGAGTTATAGGTAATATAAAACCATGCTTTCTAAATATATGTTATTTTTAGTGAAATAATGCCCAAATACAGTAGACCGACAAGCGCTTTCGACGATAATTATTTTCGTCTTTATCAGGTCGTTATCAAAAAAAGGAATTTAACCGATTTTTAACGACCTGATGAAGACGAAAATAGGTATTGGAGGGTTTATTATCTTTAGGTCTTCTTTGCTGCAGAGGAAAGATTTTGGAAACAATTTGTTTATGATCTGGTTGTAGAGATATTGACACTTGGAATTAGAATCCGGCATTGTACACCGCTCTGTTGATAATTTGTAATTC